CAAATCCTGCAGTGCCAGACGTTTCCCCCTGCTTAAGCCAGTACATGTCCAGGCCCGTCTGAAGTTTGCTAGAGTGCATTTGGATGATCCAGAAGAGGATTGGGAGAATGTCATATGGTCAGATGAAACCAAAATATAACTTTTTGGTAAAAACTCAACTCGTCGTGTTTGGAGGACAAAGAATGCTGAGTTGCATCCAAAGAACAACATACCTACTGTGAAGCATGGGGCTGATTTTCTGCAAAGGGACCAGGACGACTGATCCGTGTAAAGGAAAGAATGAATGGGGCCATGTATCGTGAGATTTTTAGTGAAAACCTCCTTCCATCAGCAAGGGCATTGAAGATGAAACGTGGCTGGGTCTTTCAGCATGACAATGATCCCAAACACACCGCCCGGGCAACGAAGGAGTTGCTTCGTAAGAAGCATTTCAAGGTCCTGGAGTGGCCTAGCCAGTCTCCAGATCTCAACCCCATAGAAAATCTTTGGAGGGAGTTGAAAGTCCGTGTTGCCCAGCGACAGCCCCAAAACATCACTGCTCTAGAGGTGATCTGCATGGAGGAATGGGCCAAAATACCAGCAACAGTGTGTGAAAACCTTGTGAAGACTTACAGAAAACGTTTGACCTGTGTCATTGCCAACAAAGGGTATATAACAAAGTATTGAGAACCTTTTGTTATTGACCAAATACTTATTTTCCACCATAATTTGCAAATAAATTCATTAAAAATCCTACAATGTGATTTTCTTGAAAATGTTTTCTCATTTTGTCTGTCATAGTTGACGTGTACCTATGATGAAAATTACAGGCCTCTCTCAACTTTTTAAGTGGGAGAACTTGCACAATTGGTGGCTGACTAAATACTTTTTTTCCCCCACTGTATGTATGTATGTATGTGTATGTATATACATTTTATATATATATATATATTAGCAAGACATGCCCAATAAAGGACTGGTTTTGCAGGTGGTGACCACAGACCACTTCTCAGTTCCTATGCTTCCTGGCTGATGTTTTGGTCACTTTTGAATGCTGGCGGTGCTTTCACTCTAGTGGTAGCATGAGACGGAGTCTACAACCCACACAAGTGGCTCAGGTAGTGCAGCTCATCCAGGATGGCACATCAATGCGAGCTGTGGCAAGAAGGTTTGCTGTGTCTGTCAGCGTAGTGTCCAGAGCATGGAGGCGCTACCAGGAGACAGGCCAGTACATCAGGAGACGTGGAGGAGGCCGTAGGAGGGCAACAACCCAGCAGCAGGACTGCTACCTCTGCCTTTGTGCAAGGAGGAGCAGGAGGAGCACTGCCAGAGCCCTGCAAAATGACCTCCAGCAGGCCACAAATGTGCATGTGTCTGCTCAAACGGTCAGAAACAGACTCCATGAGGGTGGTATGAGGGCCCGACGTCCACAGGTGGGGGTTGTGCTTACAGCCCAACACCGTGCAGGACGTTTGGCATTTGCCAGAGAACACCAAGATTGGCAAATTCGCCACTGGCACCCTGTGGTCTTCACAGATGAAAGCAGGTTCACACTGAGCACGTGACAGACGTGACAGAGTCTGGAGACGCCGTGGAAAACGTTCTGCTGCCTTCAACATCCTCCAGCATGACCGGTTTGGCGGTGGGTCAGTCATGGTGTGGGGTGGCATTTCTTTGGGGGGGCCGCACAGCCCTCCATGTGCTCGCCAGAGGTAGCCTGACTGCCATTAGGTACCGAGATGAGATCCTCAGACCCCTTGTGAGACCATATGCTGGTGCGGTTGGCCCTGGGTTCCTCCTAATGCAAGACAATGCTAGACCTCATGTGGCTGGAGTGTGTCAGCAGTTCCTGCAAGAGGAAGGCATTGATGCTATGGACTGGCCCGCCCGTTCCCCAGACCTGAATCCAATTGAGCACATCTGGGACATCATGTCTCGCTCCATCCACCAACGCCACGTTGCACCACAGATTGTCCAGGAGTTGGCGGATGCTTTAGTCCAGGTCTGGGAGGAGATCCCTCAGGAGACCATCCGCCACCTCATCAGGAGCATGCCCAGGCGTTGTAGGGAGGTCATACAGGCACGTGGAGGCCACACACACTACTGAGCCTCATTTTGACTTGTTTTAAGGACATTACATCAAAGTTGGATCAGCCTGTAGTGTGGTTTTCCACTTTAATTTTGAGGGTGACTCCAAATCCAGACCTCCATGGGTTGATAAATTAGATTTCCATTGATAATTTTGGTGTGATTTTGTTTTCAGCACATTCAACTATGTAAAGAAAAAAGTATTTAATAAGATTATTTAATTCATTCAGATCTAGGATGTGTTATTTTAGTGTTCCCTTTATTTTTGTTGAGCAGTGTGTGTGTATGTGTGTGTATGTATATATATATATATATATATATATATTTGCGAAAAAAAAACAAAGAAAAAAAAACAACGTGACTCCTGAGAGCGAAGATGTGAAGTGCTCCATCTCTACAGCTGTGCGCTCTCACTCTCTCAAAATAGACCAAAACCAAATCACTTAGATATTGCGATGAAAAGGGAATAAACTACATCTCTAGTGGTGTGTTCAAGCATAAAAGCAGCTGACAAAATTGCAAACAAACCACATCCTATGACAGTTTTTGTCAAGAATTGTTTATCTATCCTATAGGCCTACACTTCACTAAAGAGAATTAATGATGGTCGACAAAGCAGTAAAACTTCATCAATAATACTATCTTCAGTAGCTAGGACTACTAAGATTGCACCTCCCCTGTAGAGTTCTGTTATGGTTATGCAATGTTTTGACATGGAAATGAGAATGTGCTCCAGTATTCTAATGGCAATATGCCTCTCTTCAGATCTTGATGTATCTTTGGGTGAATGTGTATGTGTGGCTGGCAGAGACTGCTCCTTAATTGGGATTGCTCTGCACATAACATAGCCTAGTTACAGAAAGTGGCCCATATTATAATCATAAGGATCCTTTAGGTTTGTGTTTTGTACTCGATCTAGAAATGCATTTTGGCTATGCATTGATTCATTATTTCAGATGTGTATATAAAATACTCTTGTGAAACACCAGCAGCACAGGTCCTGCAGTGGTTTCTCCAGAGAGAGGGATGTTTGTGCTCCTGTTCTAGATCCCTCTGTTGAATGAATGAACCCAGTTGAGAGTAGCAGACAGACTGTCCATGCTGTGGTCATGCTTGCTTGGTTGTCACTTTTTTGATTCTACAAGGTCCCTGTTCTGCTCTGAGTCAGACCTGGCTGAGATAAACACCACTGCTGCAGTGTTTTCCATAAGCGCCGGCTGTCGGCTAGATAGCCGATAAGACTCATTGTCAGCCGGCTACTTTTTCCACTTCATTAAATCAAACTAGGCTTATTTTCATTTACAAGTTTCAATTTGCTAGTCAGAAAAGTTAATACAGCCTTCTCCTGCTAGAATGACCTATATGCATCTTCTAGTGATCTATTGATACAACAGGCGCCTGTCAGTCACAAAGTGAGTGATGACGGGGACACAGTGCTAGTTTGTCAGTCTGCTGTCTGTCCCGCCTCTAGGCTCCTGTGTTATTTTTGTGCCCTCTGGTTGGCTGCAGTCAAATGTATTTTTACGGAGGAGGGAGAGCATGATGCTTCTTCATCATCTCCTGTGAGTTAATTTCCATCTCCCATGTAATGTAAGTGGTAACGTTGAGTTTAAATCCACTTAATTATTGTTTTGTGGCACATTAATGTATTTTCTTTTGTGTGTTTCATAGGCCTATTATAGCCAGCCACGGAGTCGGGGCGCATAGGCTATTTATTGTGCTTTGATTGACAACCAAACAGCTTTGACTAATTTTTAAAAGGCATCGAACTGACTGAATAAAGTCAATCTCCTATATCCCTTTGCTATTCATAAATCATACAACATAGTTATATGTCCATGGTATCGCATTGGGACAAGTAAACCAACGATCTTGTTTGTGTTTTCCTATGATTCGAAGCCCATGTTGAGACTTGCCAGTGACCGCTAGTGACTCGTCAGTGTAGCCTAGTAATAGGTTGTTCGTGAACAAACTGTTATTTTTTAAAATAACTTTTAGGTGAACGGATCTGAATCGCATCAGTGAGGGAGCTGTTCATTTGGCTCCCTGGTAGGCCACTACTGCATTTTGGCGATTATCTGCAAAACTTCAATTAATAGCCCAGGCATTTATTTGCTTAAATCACTGAACACAACAGGTGCTTATTAGAGACAGGCTTCTATTTGAGCCAGGCGTCTATTTCCTTAATGCACACAGCTTTTGCTCATTTTCATAGTTAATTGTTTAATTCCAGCATTCACTTCCAGCATTTTAATACATTTTCTTCATTTCCTACACGGTGTTATCATTTACACACCATGTCACGTTTCTTTTGTCTTAGTATGCCTCTATAGAAAAAAAAATCTAAATACTTTTCCTTGACAAAATACTTATTCTATTTTTTCTATCTGGCTGGCTACTCCATGCACTTACGGAAAACACTGCTGCTGTAATTGATGGAGCACAGCACAGCCCAGAGCAGCAGCTCAGCTCTGGAAAGAGAATCCCCTTCCCTTCCCTTCCCTTCCCCACTTACACACATTCAGTCAAAAGTAGAGCGGCTGAGATTCTGTTTAAAGCAACAGCGCCACTGCAGTGGGATGGTGAGAATGGGCACTGCACCTTGTTATTGGCAATGGTGGAGAGACACACTAGCAGTGCTGCTGCTCCTGTCCACAGTTTGCCCCCAGCAGCAGGTTGCTGTGCACACCATGATCCTGACCCCTGACTGAGAACCCTGCCTGCTGCCCTAGTGGGAACTTGTGTGTGCAGCAGTGTGGAATGATTTTTGCACACAGACAAAATGTGTTAGTGCATCTCCTGGGAGGAAGTTTCCACTCTCCAGCCCTGGCTTCAGTTTTTACTTAGCAGCACTGTGTTGTGGGAGTGGTGTAAATGTTCTGCACTGGGTTCTGATAAAACAACTGTCTCACCTCCTCCTCCCTTTCCTTGCAGGCCTGTGTCCTGATTGCTGACCTCATGGTGTAACCAGGTGTAAAGATGAGCATAAGCAGTGATGAGGTCAACTTTCTTGTGTACAGATATCTACAGGAGTCAGGTATGCTCCAACGCTCAAACCACATGTCCATTCACATTCTGTAAACACTGGCAACAGACAGCTGTTGAAACAATGTTCTGTATATTCTCCTACTCATGTAATGTTCTAGTGCTATTAAAGGGTGCCTAGAAAATGTGCACTACGATAACAACCACAGAGCTATTTGAAATGTGCCAATTCCAGAGGCACCAAAGGGAGGGATCTGCTCAGTGTAATGTGCTGCGTAGTGCCTACTGACATGCTGCTCATGCTTGCCCCCTACAGGATTTTCCCACTCAGCCTTCACATTTGGCATAGAGAGCCACATCAGCCAGTCCAACATCAATGGAGCCCTGGTGCCCCCTGCTGCCCTCATCTCCATCATACAGAAGGGCCTGCAGTACGTGGAGGCCGAAGTCAGCATTAATGAGGTGAGCTCATCTCCTCATTCACACAACTCATTATCACAGCATCTCATCATCTCAGCCGACTATCAGGGAATCTGTGGACTTAATTACCGCAAGCCTGGTATACTGTGATCAAATGCAGAAATCAGCATTGGTTTGATCACAAATCAGAAAGGATATGTATGCAGTGCTAGGTTTCTGCTCTTCAGTTATTATGCAGTTATTAACCAATTTAGCTTTATAATGCATTGCATTATTGTATTTTAATAGATGGTTCTAAGATGATATATTTTTTATTTTTTTATTATTATTTAATTTGATTGGTGATTTTAGCCTACCATTGCTTATAGCTACAGTAGTTATTTAGCAGTTTGAATTTGAGTCTAACCAGCTGGTCTGGTGTCCCCAGGACGGCACGCTGTTTGACGGACGGCCGATCGAGTCCCTGTCGCTCATTGACGCGGTAATGCCGGACGTGGTGCAGACGCGGCAGCAGGCCTACCGAGACAAGCTAGCCCAGCAGCATGCAGCCCAGGCCCCCCCGGCCAACACCACCAACATGACGGCCAACGCCAAGAACGGAGAGAACACGGCCAACGGCGAGGAGAACGGAGCGCATGCCTTAGCTAGTGAGTCTCAGTCCACGGCCCTGGCTTTAGCGTTTATTAACTATAACACAGAGGGAGAGGAGGGAAAAATGTATTTGTCACATTGTTGAGTCAATGCCAATGCTGGATGTTTTGTTATTCAGATCATGCACATGCTGATGAGGTGCTCTCTGTGTGCCATACAGACAACCATGTAGACATGATGGAAGTCGACGGGGATGTGGAGATTCCCCAGAACAAAGCCATGGTGCTCCGAGGTCACGAGTCAGAGGTGTTTATCTGCGCCTGGAACCCTGTCTCCGACCTGCTTGCGTCCGGGTCAGTCTCTCGCTCTCGCTCTCTCTCGCTCTCGCTCTCTCTCACTCTCTCTCGCTCGCTCTCTCTCGCTCTCTCTCTCTCTCTCTCTCTCTCGCTCTCTCTCTCTCTCTCTCTCTCTCTCTCTCTCTCTCTCTCTCTCTCTCTCTCTCTCTCTCTCTCTCTCTCTCTCTCTCTCTCTCTCTCTCTCTCTCTCTCTCTCTCTCTCTCTCTCTCTCTTACTGCTGACAAGGTTAATTTACTGGTAACACTGAGGATGCTAAGATAATATCAGTAAGCTATTATCGGTCACTTTCAGATGTTATTGCATTTAGCCCCAATAATTAAATACCTATTTGGAGCTGTATCCTGGTTAGAGTTGCAAAATTCTGTTAACTTCCCAAAACGTCCCAGGTTTTCCAGAAATCCCGGTTGTAGGTTTCTGGATTTCCTGCTTATTCCTTCCTAATTCCGAGAATCTTCCAACCTGGATTTCTGAAAAACCTGGGAATTTTGGGAAAGTTAACAGAATTTTGCCACCCTAAATCAATAAATTGATTGACTGATTTACCGAGGACCTGGGGCTTTCTGTGTTGCTGTATTGTTGCTAAATTGCATTGTACTATGCTGACTCTCCCCCCCCGGTGCAGGTCTGGGGACTCGACAGCGCGGATCTGGAACCTGAGTGAGAACAGCACCAGCAGCTCCACACAGCTTGTACTGAGGCACTGCATACGGGAGGGAGGCCAGGACGTCCCCAGCAACAAAGACGTCACATCATTAGACTGGAATGTGAGTGAAGGGTCCACTCACTCACTCATAACTTAACACCACCACTCTCAAATTCCATAACTTTATTTCCACTTCTCCTGTTCTGAATGTTAGGAGTCACTTGAAACTGCTTTAATGTTTCAAAGCTTTGATCTTTGTAATTACCCAAATTATATTGAGGTGTGCTACTGTTTTGTTCTGTATGCTATTTATCCTTGCAAGGGAAAGTTTCATTGAGCAGAATTATGTTTCTATGCTGATGTGCTGAACAATATGTATTTGCTTTAAATACTTTTATTTATACAATTGATATCTCTTTCCACCTGACAGAGTGAGGGTACGTTACTAGCAACCGGCTCATATGATGGATTTGCCAGGATATGGACAAAGGATGGTGAGTTGCCACTTTTACTGCTTTTTCAACTTACCATGTTGTCAGTTTCAACAATAACGCTTGCCTCTCTAATATAAATGATTTGAACCCTAGGTAATCTTGCCAGTACACTGGGTCAACACAAAGGTCCCATTTTTGCATTAAAATGGAACAAGAAAGGAAACTTCATTCTTAGTGCCGGAGTAGATAAGGTAAGAACCCAAACAGTCTTTTATTTTTGTTATGAGCTCAAGACTTGAAATGCTATGATGACTCATTAACCTCTTCTGGTATTAAGGACTAAAATAACCTTGTTATTCTTAGGCGTGTTCTAATTTAATGTTTTTCTTTGTGTGTGTGTGTGTTTCTCCCACCAGACTACAATCATATGGGATGCTCACACAGGAGAAGCAAAGCAGCAGTTCCCGTTCCATTCAGGTGCACTGAATTATCCAATGGCTTCTTTCCTGACTCTTAATTAACCCTAATTAGACATCTATCGGTACATACATGACTATAATCAATAAGGGTATTTTTGTGCCGAATCATTCCTAGTTTCTGTCAAGCACCAAAAAAGAAGTAGCATTCTACGTTGTTGTTTATTCATTTAGTTTTCTTCCGCTCTTCCTCTTGTTGTGACTCAACAGCGCCTGCTCTGGATGTGGACTGGCAGAGCAACAACACTTTTGCCTCCTGCAGTACAGACATGTGCATCCACGTGTGTAAGCTTGGCCAGGACAGGCCCATCAAGACATTTCAAGGACACACAGTAAGTCAGCCCCCATCACCCCACAATGTAACACTGCTCCTGCAGCCATTATAGAAGTACCATTTTGTCCAGTTTTCCATGGGTCAGAGACTTTTCCTTTTCTCTGTCTGTGCTGATAACTCTGCTCCCCTCCTTTCCAGAATGAAGTCAATGCAATCAAATGGGATCCAACTGGTAACCTGCTAGCCTCTTGCTCAGACGACATGACGCTGAAGGTAAGATAGGAATGAAAACTAGCTGTCTAGCTACATCCAGAACCTCTGTCTAGCTACATCCAGAACCTCTGTCTAGCTACATCCAGTATTGTCTGAGTTTTTTATTACTGTCCCTGTTAAATAAATTATATAAATAAATACATGTGCACTGTGTAATGTTGTGCTCTGGATTATGTATCAGAAATTCAAATAATTTATGTGTTGTTTATATCACTCTATCATTTTTCTTAGTTTCAATTGTGATGAATACCACTCGACAAATTGTCGACCTGAAAAATAAACCAAGTATAAAACCAACCAAACATTCTTATCTTTCTGAACATTCAGCTTTTTTGCATGATCATCACATGTAAAACATTTTTTTTTGTCATTTTACCATCCTAGATCTGGAGTATGAAACAGGACACGTGCGTTCATGATCTGCAAGCTCACAGCAAAGAGATCTACACTATCAAATGGAGCCCCACCGGTCCTGGAACCAACAACCCCAATGCCAATCTCATGCTTGCCAGGTACTGAAACAGAAGCACTGCTGCCCGCTCTGTGTGGGCATTCATTCATTTGGATGTGAGAGCAGCATTACTGACATAACCGCAGTGTTGCCCTGTTCGAGGGTAATGGACTGATGACTACACTGGCCAGCCACAGTCTTTGTGCCCTGACCAGAAACTCTTCATCTGAATTGCCCGAGTTTTCATCTTGCTGTATTGGGGCTTTGTGTTTGAAGTGAGCTATGACCATGAGCCAAGTACTTGCTTCTGGGGAGGAGGCAGATATATGACAGTTTTTCCTGTGTTCCTTGCAGTGCGTCCTTTGATTCGACGGTGCGGCTGTGGGATGTGGACCGAGGGATCTGCATCCACACGTTAACCAAACACCAGGAGCCTGTCTACAGTGTGGCCTTCAGCCCCGACGGCAGGCATCTGGCCAGCGGCTCCTTCGACAAGTGTGTTCACATCTGGAACACGCAGGTACAGTCTGACACCATCAATCCCCTGGCTATCCCCTGACACTGTCCCGTTGTCCAGCTTGCATGGAGCGGAGAACTGTTAGTGATATTACCTATTAGCTAGTTTGTTACTTAGGTCAGATGTAGTGCTTATTTTGGAGATTTTAATTTGGCTTTCGAATGGATTTAAATCTAAGCAAGCTATGGTTTAACCTTTGGCTTGTGTCTGTCATTGTGGTTGTTGATCTGAAATGGTAATGTCTTCTCTTCCTTTTCCACAGACTGGTGCTTTAGTCCATAGTTACAGGGGGACAGGGGGGATCTTTGAAGTTTGCTGGAATGCAGCAGGTGACAAAGTGGGAGCAAGTGCATCAGATGGATCTGTGCGTACTAATGTTTTGAGCATTTTCACATACTTAATATATTTGATGTTTTCTATTGTGTTATGCCACCATAAAAGTTTATCACTCTGAGATATACATCTCAAATAATAATATAACAAAATATATATTTCTTGTTTTTCAGGTTTGTGTATTAGATCTGCGGAAATAACGCTGCTTGTTGGAAGCCATGGACCGACAATGAATGTGTACATAGCCAAAATGACTGTCCCTGCCCCATGTACTGCTAGTCTCGCTAAACCATGGCTGGCCACTACAGACCAGAAACAAGCACCCGACACAGCAGATTCAGGAGCAAGGACACGCTCTGTGCAGCAAGTTGGTAGGACCAGAGACATTAAAGGGACACAGACAAAAAAATGAAAATGAAGAAAAAAAAGCAGATCTGTATATGTACCAACATTTGGAAGCTATTTTGCTTTTTGATCTTTAAACCATGCTCATCAAGAGAAAAAAATATGTTTTAACTTTGTTGGTAGTTCAGTCTCTGTGTGCAGACATATCGGCTTTCCAATCCTGCGGCCGGCAGTTAGGTTTTTAATAAAATCATTTATATTATTTCAATGTTTAAGTTTATATTTTTGGGGGTCACAAGTGGAGGTGTCCTCTTTTTTTATACACACTCACAAAACAGTTATTAAAAAAAAAAAAAAAAACATATTTGGTAGTGTACGCTTTGTGGTTCAAAACAATATCGGGACTTGAAGAAAAATCTGTTTAATTTGTCTTTTTTTTCTATTGTAGTTTTTACTGTTGACATCTAAATGCAGTAGTTTTTATTTATTTTCTCTAAAGGAGACATTGTTTCTCCTGACCTTAATATCATTACAAATTAACATGGGCACACATGAAAGAAGAGGCATTGTAAATCTGGATGCTTTAAAACTAATTTTATGGTTGGTTTGTGCACCATCGATGGCGCTAGAGAAACGTTCCATGATTCCCCCCTGGACAAAGCTGTACTGCTGTAGCTATCATGTGGAAACATCCAGTATTGGATCGGTTAAAGAAGAGAAGCAGACGAATCAGTACCCAATGACTGTCCCCCCCCTCCAGTGTGAAGGATTGGAACTGTGATGTCCACTGGACCTTTCACAACAGTGTTACCACTGGGCAAACTTAGGCTCCTTTTACAACATATAGCAAAAAGGGAAGACTTGCTTTAAGTTTTGTATTCTAATGATTACTTAGCTGATAATGTTTCTCTCACTGATTATTTTCAAGTACATTTCATATTGCTGATGTATCATATTTGTGTCACAACATAACTTCCATTAGGCTTTTACTCAAAATGGTTTACATGTTGATTAGGCTAAGTTTGTTTTACTCCTGTAGATGATTTCCCAAGCTAGATATTGACAGAGGTTATTTGGATCACAAACAAGCAATGCTGTTTTCAGTGGAAAAATTGAATTTTAAAGCAAGTCTGAGTGTTGGGCTAGGAATCAGAAATCACATGGAGTAACATACATTATTTTTGTGCTACAAAAAATGTTAAGTAGTTAAAAAGTTAACTGAATTTGAAGCATAACCTTTTAAAGACATGCAACACTGTGTGGTATAATTGTACATTCATGTAAATGTATCTTTTCAAATCATTGTGAGCAGAGAAGTCCCCTACTGGTCAGTAATCAATCGACAGTTAAGTCATTTTTGATTGACTTTTTAACAATTTAATTTGAAATGGGACAAATCTGAATATTCACCAATTACTTTCTAGATATCCGGTTAAATGTAGTGTTTTTAAAACAAAGCAAGCCATTCTGATTTTACAGATGGCAGAATTAGGTTTTGGCTTAATGGAACTGTGAGGATCCAGCAGCAACTGCGATGGCCAGGATTCCTTGTCCACCTTGTTTAAGCCTTATATCTTATCCGTTAAGGATGTTGCTTGACATAGGGCTGGATGCATGGGCCCATATGAAGCCGACTCCTGGTCTCAAAAAGCACTTTTAATGGAAACATTGAGGATGTTTTAGTCTTAGAGTAGGTTTAATCAGGGTCTTTGCAACTGGCCCATAAATTTGCATTTTATACAGTGTAGTCCTTTTAAGTCTGTATAAACGCTCTACTCTAAGTAGATTGCACCATCTGGACATTATTTATTATACAGTCTATGACAGTGGAAAGGTATTTGAGGTTTTGTTTTATGATAAATCTGCTGTCTTAGTGTCTGCTTTGCCCTTCATTTTCACTACCTGAATTCTAATCATATTTTTATGATGTGTATGTCCCCTGGATATTTTGTACTCTTTGAAAACTTTTGTAATTCATATTTCTTTGTAGCCTAAAGGAGTAAAATGTATGATTATTGGAGATACTCAAGTACAGTATGTTCCAGTTTAATGATTTTTTGGTTCCACATTGCATCATGAGTGCCCATACCCCACCCTTGGTTTCTCAAGTCAAGTTTTTGTTTTTGCAGATTCTCCTTGCATTGCATTGATCTGTTGTAATTTTAAGCAGATCTGAAAAGTCAAGAATAAAATATATTTTGATATTAATATAACTTTTTATTTGTATTGCATTTTCCCCTGGATGTTTATCTGTTTATTCTAAACATGTTCTTAAGAAACCCAAAGTCAAATGTGTAAGCTAGTGAGATACATAAATATGAAATCATTCTTAGTTGGGAAAGAAGCTTTAGGCAACTTTTCGATAGTGAGGTCCCAGACATCATGCTGTGGCATTATACCAGTTATTTGCTGTTTTGGTGATGCACCAGTCTGTACATTTGATGTATAAACAAAAATAATTGTATATTCTCTGGTTATGCTGTTAAACAATGCATATATTGAGCTGTAAATATACAGTTGTAAAGACTCCCTAACAGCAGGACTACTGGTAATTCAATAAAGCCCTTGGTAGAACATGGCGTTTGCAACGCCAGGGTTGTGGGTTCGTTTCCCACGGGGGGCCAGTATGAAAAAATAAAATAAAAAAATAATGTAAGTTACTCTGGATAAGAGTGTCTGCTAAATGACTAAAAATGTAAATGTAAGAAAAATTGGCCCAGCGTCGTCTGGGTTTGGCCGGTGTAGGCTGTCATTGTAAATAAGAATTTGTTCTTAACTGACTTGCCTAGTTAAATAAAGGTTAAAAAAATAATTTCAACAGCACCCTTTCGGTTGCTGGCCTAACGCTCTTAACCGCTAAGCTACCTGCCGCCCGCTCTCAAATATTTTCAGCCTCCTGAGCGGGAAGAGGCATTGTCGTGCCCTCTTTACGACTGTGTTGGTGTGTGTGGACCAACACAGTCGTGTTGGTCCATGGACATCGAGGAACTTGAAGCTCTCGACCCGCTCCACTACAGCCCCGTCGATGTGAATGGGGGCGTGCTCAGCCCTCCGTTTCCTGTAGTCCTCGATCAGCTCCTTTGTCTTGCTGATATTTAGGGAGAGGTTGTTGTCCTGGGACCACACTGCGGATAAATCCCGGAACATATTCCAGTCTGTGCTAGCGAAACAGTCCTGTAGCTTAGTATCCGCTTCATTGGACCACTTCCGTATTGCACTTCCGTATTGGGCGCATCACTGGTACTTCCTTTTTGAGTTTTTGGTTGTAAGCAGGAATCAGGAGGATAGAGAGAGTTATGGTCAGATTTGCCAAATGGAGGGCGAGGGAGAGCTTTGTATGTGTTTCTGTGTGTGGAGTAAAGGTGATCTAGAGTTGTTTCGCGTCTAGTTGCACAGGTGACATGCAGGCAGAAATGAGGTAAAATGGATTTCAGTTTCCCTGCATTAAAATCGCTGGCCATTAGGAGCTCTGCCTCTGGATGAGCATTTTCTTGTTTGTTATGGACCTATACAGCTCGTTGAGTGCGGTCTTAATGCCAGCAACATATAGATGTAAACTCCTGGTAAATAGTATGATCTACAGCTTATCATGAGGTATTCTAACTCAGGCGAGCAGAACCTCAAGACTTTAATATTTGAGATTGCGCACCAGCTGTTTTTAACAAAGACACACACCTCCCCCCTTGAGCTTCCCCTTGTGCTCGTAATGACGAAAGTACATGACGTCCATGAATGTGCAAATGAAGGCGGTCCTCTGTAGCTCAGCTGGTAGAGCACGGCGCTTGTAACGCCAAGGTAGTGGGTTCGATCCCCGGGACCACCCATACACAAAAAAAAACAAACATGTATGCACGCATGACTGTAAGTCGCTTTGGATAAAAGCGTCTGCTAAATGGCATATTATTATTATTATTATTATTATTATAAGGCATTGTAATCACCACCACACCAGCACCCAGGCCTGCGGCTAGCGTCCATCCTTCACAGTAGTGCTTAGTTCAAAGAAGAGAGGGGTTGGGAGGAGTGCTGTAAATTGTTTTCTGCTATCTCCACGATGCTCTGGATGACATCGTAGGCCACAGCGAACAGGAAGTAAATAGGCAGGGTCCAGTGGAGTTGGAAGACCTGCTGGCCCACGGGCAGATGCACAGTCAGCTGTCTGGGAGGAGAGGAAGAGATGAGAACCTGTAGGAACTAGTTATCTGTATCACTGATAAAACAGTAGGCTACTCACTGAAATCACTCTGATCTGGATGCTTGCAGCATCACAAAGATGAACAACAACCCAACTTCAGTGTTCAAGGAGAAGCACCACTTTGTGCAACATCACCACAAATCCCTAGGTAAAGGGTACACATAAATATAACTTTCGGTATTATCCTTATATTCCTACATACCATAATAACTGTTTTGGATACGTAGGGCTCTATTCAATCTGTATCGCTGAAGCGTTACAGATTGTGCGATAGTAATGTAAAGCTAATTTCTGATTGAGCCGACATATGCAGTGTTTACCCTGAATGCAGTCTCCTCTAACGCGAGAACATTGCCTTTAAATTTCAATCACACTTTAATGCTGAACGTCCGCGATACAGATTGAATAGAGCCCTTGATTATCATAGCTCATGCGAATAGTTTGAAACTGCAATCAAGCACAAATTCATAGCCTATATCCAGTTATGAAGTGATAGGAACGGGTGACTCATTTTATTTTTGCTGTAGCAGGATGAATAATGAGGCACTTACCCTTGGATCACAGGACGAGACAATAAAAATGATTCCAAATGCAAGCAGAGACATGAGCCCATTGGCAAAGCTGTCAAAGAGGAAAGACAAAATGAATTGTTTGGTTAATACCATGAAATCAACTTAATTAGTCAAAGTAAGCATCCTGAATGCATCAGAACCTTTTCTATTACAGGGGCAGAGAAATATTATATTTTTATGGGAGTGGTAATGGTCAGAGAGTGAGAAAGCAAATGGCCTGTGAAATCATCTCGTGATGGGAGGAATTCAAAACCAGACGTAGAAGTAGGACTTTATACCCTCTTGAATTGCATCTGTGGAAGCTTTGTGATAATGTCCTCTCCCAGACCTTAGACATCCATTCCAACTTGGTGTTCCAGTGTGAGTTCACAAGGCTATCAACTGAAACAAAACAACCAAACACAGTCAATATACAGTATCTACAAGGCACCAAATCTACCGTTTCTGAAAGCCCTGGGTTTATTGTAAATGTAAATGCATGCCATTGGTATCTTTCGTGATTCCTATCATTCTGGTATTTTGATCACTCTTGACTGTAGAAAGGAGAGATAATGATGCCACATCAATGAAAGGCATAATTGTGCTACTGTGAAACATGATTTATTGCAGATATATGTATAAAAAAGATGTTAGGCTGAAGCATTTCAATGAGTTTCTCAGCCTGAGTGTGACACTCTGGCTCCGGGACTTTTGTATTTGAGCCAGGGTGTATTTGTTTTGTTGGGTTTTGTTGTGGGGTTTGTTGTATAGGGTGTATTCGGTTGGTGGTGTTTTGGGTGAGTTAATTGTGGTGTCGTGTGACTCCCAATCGGAGGTAACGAGTGTCAGCTGTCGGCTCGTTATCTCTGATTGGGAGCCATATTTAAACTATTTGTGTTCTCTTGAGGGTTGTGGGTTTTTGTTCCTTTTGGTCAGTGTACCGTGGACTTCATTGAGTCGTCTTTTGTTTGTAGTTCTATTACATTTATTTAATAAAGTCATGTTTCTTGGACACGCTGCGCCTTGGTCATACTTGGACGACATAGACGACCGTGACAGAAAAACCCACCTTAAAAGGACCAAGCAGCGTGTCAAGCGGCAACAGGATTTATGGACGCCTATCAAGGATTCATGGACATGGGAGGAGATACTGGATGGAAAGGGTCCTTGGGCACAACCGGGAGAATATCGCCGCCCTCGTGAAGAGCTGGAGGCAGCTAAAGCCGAGAGGAGGTGGTATGAGAAGGCAGCACGGAGTCGAGGCTGGAAGCCCGTGGGTACTACCCAAAAATTTCTTGGGGGGGGGCTAAAAGGGAGTGTGGCGAAGTCAGGTAGGAGACCTGCGCCTACTCCCTGGACTGACCGTGGAGAGCGAGAGTACGGGCAGACACCGTGTTACGCAGTAGAGCGCATGGTGTCTCCTGTACGCAGGCATAGCCCGGTTCGGTACATTCCAGCTCCACGTATCGGCCGGGTTAGAGTGAGCATTGAGCCAGATGTCATGAAGCCGGCCCAACGCATCCGGCTACCAGTGCGTCTTCTCGGGCCGGCGTACATGGCACCAGCCTTACGCATGGTGTTCCCGGTTCGCCCACATAGGCCGGTGCGGGTTATTCCACCTCCCCGTACTGGTCGGGCGACGGGGAGCATCAACCCGGGTAAGGTTGGGCAGGCTCAGTGCTCAAGGGGGCCAGTAAGCCTGCACGGTCCGGTATTTCCGGCGCCACCTCCCCGCTCCAGCCCAGTACCACCAGTGCCTACACCACGCACCAAGCCTCCTGTGTGTTCCCCGAGTCCTGTGCGTCCTGTTGCTGCTCTCCGCACTAGCCCTTATGTGCGTCCCCAGGGTCCAGCATGCCCTGTTACTTCTCTCCGCACTAGGCCTTATGTGCGTCCCCAGGGTCCAGCATGCCCTGTTCCTGCTCTCCGCACTAGGCCTTATGTGCGTCCCCAGGGTCCAGCATGCCCTGTTGCTTCTCCCCGCACTAGCCCTGAGATGCGTGTCCTCAGCCCGGTACCTCCAGTTCCGGCACCACGCACCAGGCCTACGGTGCGCCTCAGACGGCCAGAGTCTGCCGTCTGCCCAACGGGGTCTGAACTGCCCGTCTGCCCTAAGGCGCTTGAACTGGCCATCTGTACTGAGCCTGCTAGGCCGCCCGTCTGCCATGAGCCTTCAGAGCCGTCCGCCAGACCGGAGCCGCTAGAGCCTTCCGCCAGACAGGATCAGCCAGAGCCTTCCGCCAGACAGGATCAGCCAGAGCCTTCCGCCAGACAGGATCAGCCAGAGCCTTCCGCCAGCCATGAGCAGCCAGATCCGTAGGCCAGCCATGAACAGCCAGATCCGTCAGCCAGCCATGAGCAGCCAGATCCGTCAGCCAGCCATGAGCAGCCAGATCCGTCAGCCAGCCATGAGCAGCCAGATCCGTCAGCCAGCCATGAGCAGCCAGATCCGTCAGCCAGCCATGAG